TTTTTTTTTGGGGGGGGGGGGGGGGAAGATTGGTGCAAGTTTTGCAATCATGAAAATGATCAGCCTGACAAGTCTAACATAATGTATCCTCTGCTTAATGTAACATGCGCATTCATACTCCTGTAGAGCAGTTATGTCTTAAACTGATTTAAGCATGCCTACTAATTCATCCAGAACCACCTGGGCTCAGCTGTTCATATGTCATTGATGCTTTGTACTACTACTACTTTTTTTTTTTCCCTCTGTGAACAACTTATTCCTCTAATATCTGTCTAGAAATTGACAGGAGTGAGTCAGTTTCATGGTTTCTCAGCAGAAGCAGAGCCTGGCACCAGCAGTCCTTTGTTGTGCTGTGAAACATGAAGATCCCCACAGAACAACTGCAGCTCCATCCAGGCCAACAATGGATGCAAACAGGGATCCCCTCCAAGGATAGCTGACATAGTCCCAAAACACGTCGGCAAGTGCCCGAATCGTAGCATCTGCGCGATGTGCCGACAGCGACATGAAAACCTCAGGGACGCTGCTTGTCTTACCCATTCCGGAGGGCCGCTTCTCACGTAAGGGAACAAGTCAGCGTCTGTGCCTAACAACCTGCCTGGGTTTTGCAGAATCACAGAAAACGAGGGTTGGCAAGGGCCTCAGGAGGTCGCCTAGGGCAGCAGTTCCCAACCTTTTTATACCAGAACCCATTTCTAAACATGGGCAGCAGGTCCTGACAGGCTTCCCCCTGCCTGCAGGGGGTGGGGCAGAGGGAGCCCCTCGCAGGCTGGAGCTCTGCCAGCCCCAAGGGGAGCCCCACAGCTTCCTACCTTTTTCTCCTTTAAAGGAAAATCCATTTTAAAGGTTTATTAATCCATTTTTTAAATTAATGCATTAATCCCCCATCCTTTCGTTATCTCTTTGCAACCCACTTTTGGGTTGTGACCCATGGGGTGAAAAATGCTCTATCCAGCCAAGCAGGGCCGTCCCCAGCTACGCCATCCTGGTCAATACTTCCTCTTGCCCGGTCTTAACACCCTCCAAGGATGGCGATGCCATGGCCCCTTCCACTGCTTCCCCACCCTCCTCCTGAGAAACCTTTCCTAGTATCCAGCCTAGCCCTGCCTAGCTGCAACCTGAGACCCCGCTCCTTGTGCCGCCACCTGCCCGGCGGCCCCCGCTCAAGTCCCACCGCGTTTTCCCGGACTCTCCGCAATCCGCAGCAGGTCCCGGTAGAA